GCGTCTTACATAAGAACAGGACTTTTAGCTGTTCTTATTTAAGTCGCGTCTTAAATAAGATATTTTATTAATATATATATATATATATATATATATATATATATATATATATATATATATATATATATATATATATATATATATATATATATATATATATATACCAGCGGGCAAAATGACGTTTATCCAACGTTGAATCAACGTTGGAAATGACCTTCCAGACGTTGGATAGACGTTGAAAAAGGGTTGACTATGCAAATTGGATCGACGTTACTGTTTCGACGTTGAAACAACGTTGAAATTAGGTTGCCAATCTCGTCAACCATAATTCAACGTTGAATCCACGTTAAAACAACGTTGAGATTGGTTCACAAATCGGCGTCGTACATTTAACCATGAATGAACGTTAATTCAACGTCTGTTGGCTGCTGTTGAACCAATGTTTGTAAAACAACGTCAGAGCAACGTAGATATTAGGTTATCGACGTCCAACCTTTTTTCTACCAAATTTCAACGTTGAAACAACGTCGTGTGCCCGGTGGGAATTGGGATATAACATGCACGAGTGAGTAGTTTTCAAAGACCTCAAAATAGCACGAGTCCAAAGGAAGAGTGCCGTATTTGAGGTCTTTGAAAAACTCATGAGTGCGGGTTTATCCAAATTTCACGAGAAACCATGCTATTACTTATTAATAACTTACATAAAAATGTTCGAGACAATTGTAGTTTTAACTTATAGTTTGTTACAGATTTTTACACTGGTGATTACAGAAATTTGCACTGTGATTACAAAAAATTGCGCTGTGATTACAGAAAATTGCACTGCTGTTTTTTGATTAACTGCACTGAAATCAACCAATCACAGTCGAGTAATGTTTTTTATGTATATTATTACGATCGTGGGACAGCAACTAGCCTTTTTGGCAACAATTGTATATATATATATATATATATATATATATATATATATATATATATATATATATATATATATATATATATATATATATATATATATATATATATATATATATAACTACAGACGGTACCGTTTCGGCCTTTTGGGCCTCATCCAGAGGAGGAGTGAGGACTATACCGGCATGCAACGCGGTCAGGCGCGGTTTTTTACATATTATCGATTTCTCGCTCTGCGCCGTCATTGTTCGGTCGGCTTTCGCTGTGTTTACACCTCGAGGTTTCAAGAATTCAGAAAAGATTTATAGAAAAAAAATGTAAAATGGTGAATTTTTGCACTATGCATGGAAAGAAAGCTTCGTTTTTGGGTGGACACGAGCTTCTGTGTGTTCTGAGGTGTGTTCACTGTGTGTCAAAACAGCCTTTAATCTTAATTTCGGAAGAATTACCGTGTGATGAACTTGAATGTCGTGAGGTTCATGTTTATAGTTCTATGGATAGTTCGATGAATAGTCCTTTGTCCAGCTGTGGTTAACGGGATAATAATTGATGAATTTGTTCGCTGATTGCGGTAGTCCTGCACTGGTACAAATTCATTCTAGTTGTGTTTTTAAGGTGAGATGATTTTTATATTAAATAAAATAGAAAAATCCTCCTATGTTGTATTAAAAATACAGCAGTATTATTAAAAACGTATTTTTATTTCATATCATGTAGTTCTTCGACCCTAATGATCCACGGGAAGGAGGTATAAACGAAGAATATAACAATATTATGTTGTTGGGAGTTTGACATTTCAACATCACCAACATCCCAAATAGTCAAGATGATGAGTTGGATAGTGTACTTCCACCAATAGAATTACATCAGCCAACTGATTGTAGCTGTTTTAATTTACCAATAAATCCTGTTTGCCCTGACACACATTCATACACACCAAATGATGGAAGAAGACCCAGTGATAGCATTGTAGAGAATGAAATGGAGGCGATTCAGCACTATCATGACACTATATATAAATGTATTGACTACTGTGTGATGCATTGCAAGGATTTATACTGATCAACCAGTTATCTATGCTTACTGTCGTTCCAATTGAAGTGTTGCTCAAATATTGATTCAATACATTACCTCGGGCTGACCAATTCATTTGATCAAGTTCCTCGAGATATTCATACACTTCCTAGTATAATTGTAAACTTCCTGTTGAATAGTTTGAATGCACCAATCACCTTTGTTGTTTGTGCAACTAACCAATCATATATAGAAAGGAAGTGACCAGAAATGATCAAATACTTGGAATTGGCTCTTTCACAGGAAGTGTATGAATATCTCGAGGAACTTGATCAAATGAATTGGTCAGCCCGAGGTAATGTATTGAATCAATATTTGAGCAACACTTCAATTGGAACGACAGTAAATGATCAACCAGTTGTCTATTATTTCACTCTGCCTAACGCCAGATTATTTTACTGTCTAACACTAAACTATTTACTCATCAGGGGGAGAGTACTGACACTCCAATACTCAATGGGTTAAAAAACATTGAAACAAAATGTTTAGCAGAAGCTGCAAAATTGTATATTGGTGTCTGGTGTAATACTGACATTTCTTTTTTTTGTAAGGATAGAGCTGGGGAACCTGTAGTGGTACAGTCTTGGCCCTACCCCGGTTTTCCTGTACTGCGTGTTTTCGTCACTTCCCTGATTGGGTCGTTCCAGAAAAGATCCATACTCCCCCCACGGAGGAAAGTTCTGCCGTCCGGAGGGGCGGGGGAGAAAAATTTGTTTCTGATAATAGTAAATGTATTAGGACATCCGAAGGGGGCAGGGGGGTTAACTTCCTATTTCCTCTGTGGGGGTGGTATGGATGTTTTCTGGAATGACCCATTATACCATAAGTATTGTATCCCATGGACACCATCTTATCAGTTCTGCAGTTTTTTGACAATCTACCGTAAACCTCCAACTATAAGCACTGGGCTTATATTCTTTCGTAAGTGATTTTTGATGGGCTTACACAAGGGGGGCTTATACACGGGGGGGGGGGGCTTATATTCAGAGGTTTATGGTTTATGGTATGTATGGTATTCACGATTTTCAGTGTATGGTCTTCTCTTGCTCATCACAAATTAATAAAAAGATCACACACTACATAATTGATGTTTATAAAATTTATTTATTTTAAAATCGAAAAAATGTTAACATAATATTACTGTAATTAAAATGGTTTTTAAAAAAAATTTTATGTGCAAATAAAGAGAAGTTTTTAAAATGTTACATTACATTCATTTCACCAGTACACATGAATAGTATATGAGCTTAATGATGTATTAAAACAATCTAGAGGTATTACATAAATGGTAAACCTCTTCAATTGCAATCATTCGCATGATTATCTGCAACAGATATGAATTCAATGAATGCTTTATCTTCCTCGCATGTCCATTTATGAAGTTTTACTGGGAATTTCTTTGGAGGAGTCGGTTTAATCTTTGTGATAGGAAACTACAAAACAAACAGCAAAAGTGAGAGAGGCAATGTCAGTGCCAGCACCATTAGACAACAACAAAGAAACTCATGGATTTTTACCAGGATTGTGGGCATGCTTCTCCAGGAAATTTGTGCACTATAGGTTTTCTGAAATGCCACTCCCAGCATTGAAAAATATCATTGGCGTACGGGTGGACAGAAATTGCCCGACATTGTCATGAGTTTATTTATAGATGAACAAGAGGTATAAAATAGAAGGAACATAACTCCTATGCAGACTTGCAGAAATTCTGTTTGAAGTCAATCTTAAAACAATTGCCCAATTTTTAAAGCAGAATCCTGCCCAACTGAACACTGACTGGAGGGTTGCAACCCCCAGCCTCGTACGCCTATGGACAGAAATTCTCACAGGCAAAAAAGCATTAAAATACAATGTTATTGTTACTATGATAATAACTTTTAGCCCCCCCCCCCCATTAACATCTCATTGTCTCATTAACCCATTGAGTGGCAGCACTCTCCACTTGAGGAGTAAAATGGTCTAGCGTTAGACAGAGTAAAATACTAAAGTAGGGTGCATCAGGGCGTATTGCCACTTAAAGGGTTTAAAATACAATGTTTTTGTACAGTCGTACTGTATTTTATGTTTGTAAAAATCTTTGTACTTTTATACCTTTGGTGATGTTCCAGGACTCTGAAACAAAGTTCGACTTGATGTTGAATTCTTCAAACGTGAAATTTTGTTTCTCTTATTATTAGGTTTCCCTGGGGTATCACCTTTAGACGTATATACCCTCGTATATACTCGCTTTTAATATGGCAGTATCATTTCATTCGTCACTAACAATGACAACATCACTACTATCTGCATGATTCCATGTCCGAATTCTATAACAAAATGACAAAAATACAGTCGATACAGTAAACTAACATTCTGACCTTAATTGTAAAGGTAACATTACACTCAAAATATGTAACAACTACATGCGTATATTTCAAAGATATAGAAAATAATTTCCTTCGCGCCATAAGGATCAACACCCGTCTATTCCCGCCATCGGCATTAAAATATAGCAAAAATACCCCATTTTCAAACCGCGATTGCTTGTCGATTTGGAGGAGCGATCTAGCGTTTTAAAGAACCAACAGAAAGAGCAAGTCTTCCTGAATTTGATGACGTGTTTTTTTTTACTTTTCTCATTAAAAAAGGTAGTTCGCTCCTGCGTTATTTCAAAGCCATTTTTTTGGCGTGTCCATTGACCCGAAACAAGCATAAATACAATGCGTAATTAGCATAACTAAAAAGCAATATCTATACCAAAAAAATATAAAACTGTTTAATTAGATGTCCAAACAAAACAGTTATCATCACATACCTTCAAAAAAACGAGATCTTCAGAGCCAAAAATCGCAATATATTTCAACAACTTTTTCGTTAACGTTTGCCAAAAATCGTAATTGTGAATAATAATGAGGCGCAATGCATTGTGGGAAGACCCTCACTCCTCCTCTGGCAATGGCTGATAAGACTCCTAGATTTTCTCTGGCCCACACTTTAAATTTTTCAAATCTCGTTCGTACGTGGTCGCGTACTTTTTCACGAACGCGGTGTATCCCCTCTTCGGAGTCGGGTTTTTGATACATTTCTAATCTCGCATCGTCGATATTTTGATCGATAATTTCCAAGGCTTCGCGAAAAATATCTTTACGGTCGGGATCGGATTCTGTTTGGAAGTCTGTTTTGAGTTTTTGTCGTTCGATCTTTAAAAATTTTATTTTCTCGTCGGGTACTCCTTTGGGAACGGTAATTCCCACCAATTCTCTCGTCTCCTGTTCGGTAAATTTTCCATCGTTGTGGAATTGTAAAACCCGACCGTGAAATTCAATATCGTCGTCGATATTTTCCCGATTGATTTCGTCGCGTACGTCGTCGGTAATAACATTGGTATTTTGACCACCACCCGTTTCTTCTTCCGTGATACTATTTAATGTTTTTCGATGTTCTTCCGTTGCCTTTTCGTACGCGGTCCTGAAATTTTGTAAATCTTGTACGTTTGATGTATTTTTTGATAGGAAATAATTTCCATTTCTATCGATGAATGCAACTCTCACATCGTCGAACGTTAACCAGTGTCCGCTTAAATTTAACCGGGAAAATAAATCTTTTGAATTTGGTCCGTCGTTCGGATTTAATCTATAATCCTGTGTAAAAAGATTTTTCATGTACTCGGATTTTAAGCCCGTGTAGGATCTTCCGGTCCTGTACAGGGAATTTGTCTCCCTTTTTCTTTTGGTGGATGTATCGTTATCGCTATCTTTTTTAAATTCCATCAGTCGGATTTCATCATCTCGTCTATCCAGAAAATCTTCCATTTCTATGTTCTCGTCGACGTTCGTCTCATCGTACTCCCACGTATCCCAGTCGTAGTCGTTGTTAAAGTCATTCAGTTCAATATCTTCCATCTTTTTATTTACCACTTAAATCCAGCGATAATTTGTGTTCGTAAAATCTTCCGGAATTTCCCGATCGTCGTCGTCGGGATCTATAATCTTATACATGTTGGCATCACCGCGAAATACTTCCGACACGACGTAGACGTCGTCGGTATAATTGGATGTATATCCCTTGTCAAACGTTCCCCGATAGATTTTGTCTCTTACACGATCTCCGACTTTAAATTTAGGTTCGGGAAAATGGGATAACGGATACCCGTAAGTTTTCGTCCAGACTTTATCCTTATTGGTTTCGTTCACGTCGGCCGGTTTCATCCCGATGGTTCGATGTTTGGAATGATTGTAGGAATGAACGAAATTCGGTAAGACGTCGATCCATTTCTTTTTCTTTTCCGTAAATTTTTGTTCCGTAAAATATTTCCACATTCTTGTCTTTAACGTCCTGTCGAATCTTTCGACGATCGCCGCTTTTTTCCCGGTCAGTCGCGTCGAAAAATAACGGAAGTCGTGTTCACCCAATAACGCCTTGACACCGTTATTGTAAAATTCGCTCCCTTCGTCAAATCGGGCGACTTTGGGATATCGTCCGAACCTTTCGTAAAATTTCTCCAAAACTTGTTTGACGGCTGGGACCATATCTTTCGCCCCTTTTCGATAAACGGGCACGGCAAAGGCATACCGACTTAAAATTTCGATCACCGTTAAAATCCATTTGTTTCCTTGATTCGCACGACTATACGGTTGCATATCCACTAAATCCATTTGAATCTGCTGGGCAAGTCCGTCGACGTACGTTCGTTGCGTCTTAAAATGATGTCGCGTCGGTTTATGCACGATGTACGTATTTTGCGTTTGTAACCATTCCTTGACGTTTTTTCGCGTGACGTCGGGTACACCTTCTTTCACCTCATCCCGATATAATTTTTCCATCGACATGTATCCTCCGTTGACTTTAAAATACAGGTCGCGTAAGGCAATATCAAAAGAATCCATATTTTTTATAATAAATGAAAAAGATTACCGTCTACATCGAGAACGGAGAAACCACGGTCAATTTACAAAAACCGTTAGTTTTAACCCACGCGTCGAAACTTTACGTGAAGACGGTGGCCGTGTTCTGGACGTATCAGAATATTTGAAAAGGGGACAACGACTGTTTTTCCGTCGATAAGAAAAAAGTTACGTTGAACGAAGGATATTGGACGTTTAAAAAATTACGAGAAAAATTAGAAAGTCACGGTCTCGTCGTCGAAGAATTTCCCGATAACAGGATTAAGATAAAATTTACGAAGGGTGTAAAAACTTTAAATTTATGGTAACTCGGCAAGATGTTGGGATATACCACTACATTTTCGACGATGCATAAAAGTGATCGTCATGGATATTCACGAAGGATTACGCTACGTGCCAGTCGGGTGTAATTTAACGAACCGGTCTCAAAATGTAGGTCCCGACGGTTATCCTAGTAACGTCATCACGTCGCTTCCCATCGACGGAATAAAATCTTTATTCGGAACGAGGACGAAATACAACGACATCGAAAGCGAAGTGTATGCGGACGCCGGAATTTATCACGACCTTCATTTCGACGTGAAATCCAACGTCGACGGAATCACGCCCTGCAATATTTTGATGGAATTTTATTTTGTCCGATAATAAAATGAATAAGGAAGGAGAACAAATATTCAGCCAATATTACGGAAAGAATTACGAAAAGGTGAAGAAAGCCTATCCCTGCAAATTCAGAAATTAAAAAGTATTTTTTTAAAAAAATATCCGAATGCAACACCGAGTAAATTTAACTTCGAAAGACGGAACGTTGGTTTCAAAAAGGATTTTTTACAAGGTGGACGAGTTTACAAGTTACGATGTAGACTTCGTTACGTTTTTACATAATCCGGATTGGACGAAATATTTATATTGGAAAGACGGATGGCGGAACGTCAGATCCGACGCCATATTCCGTCCCAATCCTAAATTCCAGATGAATTTACACGCGTTCGATGTGTACGTGTCGGAGGTAAACTCTTTTCCCGTCCGTCTCGAATGCACGACACCGCAATATACGGAGACGGAAAAATTTATGGATTTAATTCCGTTCGATTACCACAAAAATTCCTACTTCCGTTCGCTGGCAGCCTGTTACGTCACCACCTTCAAATCTGGAATTTCCGAAGATGACTTGAATAATACCATCTCCCATTCTCATCTGGTCACGTCGACCGTAAAATTCCAGGTTCATTATCAGATGTAAAAATTCATGAAAAATCTAAAATTACTGGATCATTTACTGACCGAAGATGATATCGTCACCATCCGAAAATACACGCCCGTTCACGAAACGTGGGAAAGACGAACCGTCTCCTCGCATGCGAATGTCGGAAGTGGTATTACGGATTACCCGCGGATACTCGCCGTAAAATTCGCGGTCAACATTACGTACAGACCCGATACGGTGGAACGTACCTCGTCTACGAATATTTAACGGGAAAATTCCCAAAAAATGTTACGGATGATCGTAAAATTTTCATTCCGAAAACATCGCGCGGATTGACGAAATTAGGTCAACGTCTCTTTCAACAATCTCTCGAAGTTTATACCTACGCCATCCTTGGATCGCAGGCAAAAACCCGATGGAGTATTATCGGACAGGGTGCAAAAAGTTTACAGACGCAAGATGCTTTTCGGAAAGTTTTGGGAGACAGTATCATACAAAGTGACGTGACCGTAATCATTCGAAATATGTGACCCTGCCCTAGTTGGCAAAGCTAAATAAATAAATAAATAAATAAATAAATAAATAAACGGCGACCGCCGATACGCACGTCGTCTTAAACTTTGCCATTATGCCAGGATTAATTTTAATACCGTCCGATATGAAAATTTTACAAAAACCATTGGCGAGTTACAATAATATTTTAACGATCGCCGAAAACGGTATGAGTTTCGGGAAGAATGAAAAGATAACAATAACATAGTCATTAGTGGAGAAGGACGTGTATTTTGTGCTCCGTTACTCCAACTTAAATGAACGTTACAAATCACAAGTATTTGATATCTCACTGCATATTTAACTGCTAGAGTTCTTGTGAGTTGTGTTCCGGCGGGTTGGAGCCTTAAATTGCTGGAGAACAGAACAGCAGAATTGTATGTGAGTATTTGTATGTACAGTGATATTGCGACGATACTACGACATCTAGATCTATCTCTCACAATCCACAAAGCGAACCAAGAAGTACTTATTGTGTTGAGAACATCATAAACTGTGCAATTTAGTTCTATACGATGTCAACAGCTACACATCAAACTCAATCATCAAATATAAATCGATATCCTGAACTAAAACTATCGTGGTCTGGTGATTATGAATCGCTGAAATTGTTTGTTGATAGCGAACTAAATTTCGAAGGAACTTGGTCATCGATCGGTGGGGAGAAAAAGTTGTTTAAAAGCAAAAATGTTGATATCCATTGGTGGGCTAAAAAGAAGTTTCTTAGGATAGAGGGAAAACAGGCAAGTGAAGTTAAACGTTCAATTCTGATGTTGATTTTGCATGACATTGGTTCTGACGACCATAATATTCGCTCGTCTCATAACATGTGTAAATGCCCTGAAGTCAGTTCTGATATCGAAGGAGTTAAATTGGATGTCATTATCTTGGAATCAACAGTGAAACAACAGGCAAATACGCTTGTTAGTTTGCAGGAAACCTTGGCGAAATTAGAAGCATCAACAACCGATGCAAAATCTATACCGTTGGATCAGCTAAGTAAATCTCCCAATAATACATCGGCTGAATGTGTTGTACAATGTACGAATTATAATAGCCCTATTGCGTCTGTGATTACACCTACTTGCTTGTATTTTTCGGACGAACCTGAGCAGAATAATACGGACAATATAATCGAAAAGCAGAATAATACGGACAGTATAGTCGAAACCTTAGTAGGAAAGTATTTGCCTAGTCATTCCAAGTCAAATGTTAAGAATTGTTCATATAATACACCAATTTTAAAGAACCCATGTCATGATCTGCACCACAATCCACAAGGCATTCAGGATCAATTAAATACTAGCCAAAGAATTGAGAAGGAATGTGTGGAGATTTGTCAATCTAATACTAACAAAAGATACTTACACTACCATGGCCAACATAATGAATGTAGTCCCCATTGTCTAGATCTCACAGTAATTAATCCCAGTAATAGTGGAATTATTACAGATGATACAACTCTTATGAATAATTATCAATCTATTCCAACCCGCATCACCCAGCGAAAACCATCTAGGAAACATAATAAACGTAACAAAAATTCGGGAAAGGATTTTCGTGCACGTACAATGTTGAGAGACAAAATGAACTTTTACAAATATTATTATTAGACGAGGCCGGGGGTAAATCGTCTTCCGGGATGGAAAGTGAATTGGAAAGCTTACTTGAACATTGTTTATATAATAATAACCAGGAAAATGTCAACCCAAACCTCATCTGTCGTAAGAGAATCAAGTCAAGCAATTTAATTCATGTATCTGTGAATCCCGAAGTTAATAGTAAAACCGTGTCTTGTTCGTCGCATTTTGTACCTGCTATATTATTGTCAAACACTATGTCGCTAGCCCCGAAAATCGATGAAATTGCTGTATTTCTTACTTCGAATCATATAGATATTGCCTTTTTCAGCGAAACATGGTTAAAAGAATCCGTTCCAGATGAAGCTATTAATATTACAAATTACCAATTATTCAGGCGTGATCGTCAACACAAATCCCATGGTGGGGTTTGTTTTTATATTAACAATACCATTTCTTGCAACCGCCTAACGGAGTTAGATAGTGATAATCACGAAGTATTGTGGCTAGCTTTACAACCAAAACGACTCCCACGAAATTACTCAAATATGATAATAGCTGTTGTGTACCACCCTCCAGATGCCGATTGTACAAGTATGCGTGACTATGTCCAATCTTCATTAGAATATATTGAATCTTCAATTCCTAACCCTGCAATCATTATTGCTGGTGATTTCAACAAATTGGACTTACAGGCTACTGTTAAACCTTTTCAACTAAAACCAGTAATTGATTTTCCCACCAGAGGTGCCAATATTCTTGACCAAATTTATACCAATCTATTTGAATACTATTCACCTCCTACTAGTGCTCCTCCATTTGGCTTATCAGACCATCTAACAATTGCCATGTGTCCTGGAACGAGGAAAAGATCGCACGAACCACAATCGCGTATTGTTAAAACAAGAGACAAGCGACCCAGTAATATTAGAAGTCTTGGTCGATTTCTCCAGGAAATTCCATGGGACATTTTATCGTCCATACCCTCAAATGATCAAAAACTATACTTTTTAACTAGCATTATAAACTATGGTTTGAACTTAATTATGCCTGAACGTTCAATAAAAGTCCACCCTAATGATCGACCATGGGTTAATAGCAATCTGAAATCACTGATAAATCGTCGACAAAAAGCCTTTGCATCTGGTAATGTCACTCTTTTTAAAATGTTACGTAATAAAGTTAATCGTGAACGAAAACGTTGTCGTAAGAGCTATTATCAATCTAAAGTTCATAATTTACGTAACACTAACCCCCGAGATTGGTGGCGGGAAGTGAAGCAGTTGTGTGGCACATCTAAACTAAACAACAAAAGTGTAAAAGACCGCCTCCATCAAGATTTATGGCAGGAGACAGACATAAACCTCAGTAATAAAATTAACAATGTTTTTATAAATGTGATACAGAACTATGTTCCATTATCTGAAGATACGGCTGTAATTGTACACAACGATGAAACGCCTATTATTGTGACCGAGTCAACTATAGCTAGAAAATTGCAAGAAATTAATACATCGCGTTCCAGTGGCCCTGACGGTATTTCCAATTGGGTTTTAAAAACCTATTCGGATATTCTCGCCTCACCAGTTGCAAATATAATCAATTCTTCCTTTCAAAGCTGTAAAGTCCCTCAAATTTGGAAGCTGGCCGATGTGGTCCCCTTACCAAAAACATCTACTGTCAAAGACTTGGAAAGGGAATTACGACCTATTTCCTTAACTTCCACTCTATCAAAGATAGCGGAACGTCTTGTAATCGAAAGAGAAGTAAAACCAACTCTGTTAAAGGTTGTTGATCCCCAACAATTTGGCTTTATTCCAAATTCTTCCACTGTACTTGCCTTGATATCGATGCTCCATTGTTGGTTGAGTGCAACAGATGGAAGTGGTTCATCTGTTCGCACTGTATTTCTTGACTATAAAAAAGCATTTGACATGGTGGATCACACCACATTAGTTGCGAAATTATTCAGCCTTGGTATTAAGCCCTGTGTGGTTAACTGGATTATTGACTTTTTACGTAATAGATGGCAAAGGGTCAAACTAAGTGATAATTGTTTCTCAGACTGGCTCCAAGTTCCAGCTGGTGTCCCTCAAGGCACACGACTTGGGCCTTGGCTATTCTTAGCCATGATAAATGACCTTGTGTTACATAATCACCTTTCAGAAATGTGGAAATTTGCCGACGATACTACGGTCTCTGAAATTGTTGAAAAAAACGAACAAAGTACTTTACAAATGGATATCGATGATATTACTACTTGGTCTATGGACAATTCCTTTCAACTAAACCCATTTAAATGCAAAGAAATGGTAATATCCTTTTCACGATTACCACCTGTTTTTGAACCTATACGTATTGGTGACCGAAATTTGGAAAGAGTGACAAGTATCAAATCGCTTGGAGTTATATTAAGAAATGACCTTAAATGGATAGACCATGTAAATTCAATTGTCTCCAAAGCAGCTAAACGTTTATATTTGTTGAGGCAACTCAAACGTGCTGATGTCGCTTCGGCAGATTTGGTCAAATTTTTTTGCAGCTGTATAAGGTCTGTCCTCGAATATGCGTGCCAATTATTCCATAGTTCCCTGCCACGAAATCTTGCAAAAAACATTGAACGTATACAGAAGCGAGCAATGAAAATAATATTCTATGAATTGTCTTACGACGAGGCTCTTAACATCGCTGGTATTTCAACTCTTGAAAACAGACGGGAGTATCTATCCAATAATCTCTTCAACGACATTGTTTTAAATGATGATCATAAACTTGCCAAACTTTTACCATCCAAAGCAGGCAATAGAGAATTACGAAAAGAAAGATCTTTTGAAGTTTTACCAGCAAATACAAATCGTTTCGGAAACTCTTTTATCAACTTTTATGCTAAGAAACATTACAAATTAGATGTTCCTTGAACATTTTAGAATTTTTAACTCATATAGATTAGTACATTTAAGTATATGATATATAGTATATATTAACAATTTTTAAATTGCATTGTAATATAGAATTTTTTACTATTTATAACCTTGTAACACTTAACGTCATGTAATTCAGTCTTCTGACTGCCAGATGATGTTTTTATTAAACAAACTATTATTATTATTATTATTATTATAAATTATGAAACACCTACCCCGGAAAAACCTGTGAGTCCTGTGAAACCGATAAAACCTGTGAGTCCGAAAAAACCTTTAAGTCCTATAAAACCTCCAGATAAGAACCCAGAAGAGGATTAAATTCACAAAGTATTACCTTGGGAATTTTTACCATTGTTTCGACGGGAGTTGCTTATTTTTTATTCCGGTAAATAAATGAGTATATTCATGGGATACGACTACTTCGATACGAATGACTTGAAAAAAACTTAAAGAAAAAGTCGCGGCGATCGAAAAAACACAGCAGGGAAATACGGCCGAAATTCAAAAAAATAAAACCGAACTGATCGACTTGAACGACATCGGAAGAAATCCACCCGTTCGATACGATCTCGCGCAACTTTCCGGATATCCACCGGGATTTCTCCAAACCGTTGCCGTTTCGGAAACCGATCAGAAAAATGCAAAATTCATTATCTTTAGAGTAAGTGGTGCCGGTATCAATAAGGAAACGGAATCTCCGGCGTACGGATTTTACGCGGGAAGTACGGGAAATGTCGTCATGTTTACCAAAACACAAACGGGCGATATCGTTCGTACGACGTTCTCATTCTTTTACATGTCCACTAAAAAAATTACCATCTTCGGATTAAAATTTAGAAATATCGATACGGCTGGAAGATCAACCGTTCGAAAAAAATCAACGGTTCTCAAATGTTTTCTCGTCACGTAATTTTTTAAGTTCCCACTTAAAATTTTTTTTAGAAAATTCGCGTCAACGCGTATCCGCTACCGAGACCGACGACACTTACGGTTACGTACATATATTTTTGCATCTCGTTCGACAGTTGATAATAATCGCTAAATTTCGGTTTACGATCCCAAGCCGATAAATCCATTTTTCGCGTATAATTTCTCAGTTCGTCCAACGCTTTATTCGTCTCTTCGATATCGTGATTCGCGTCTAAAATTTCTTGACGTCGTCGTAATTCTTGATTATGTCTTTGACTTCGGATTCGTAAATTTTTTCTTTCGCCGCGGCTAATTCTTCCAACGCACGATTATGTCTTTTGACTTCTTCTTTGTATCCGTTCTGATTTAAATGCGAGAACAAAAATCCCGCCCCCGCAAATGCAACGGCATTGAATAATCCGCCGACGATTAGATTAGATGTCATTTTTATTTATTTATAACTTTTGGAACGTATCCCTTGTCTTTTAGATAAGCGACGGTAAACGAACTTCCCGCCACGGCCAATCCTAATTTCATCGCACCTTCCAACGTCATCGGAGCACCCAAACTTTTTCGCACGACAGTTTTTGCAACGTAAGATATGCCGACGGCACCGGTCGTTAATAAGGCCGCATCGTACAAGTCTTGGACAATTTCTGTTTTCGTTGTATCGGGCATTCTCTTTTTATTTCTACGGAAAGAAATAAAAAAAAAAATTATTGTTCTCTATCTTCTTTCGCAAGTTTCTCGTTCTCGATCCAAAGTCTTTCGTTCTCGTCTTCGAGTTCACCTATTCCGGCTTCCAGGTATGATACTTTAATCTCGAGTTTCGTAATCTCCTTTTCCTGTTCGTAGACCTTGAGTTCTTTTTCGTCCAATTTTTTCTCGGTTTGTCTAATTTTTTCCTGAACGATTATTCCTCCCAATCTTCCGTATGCGACAGCTTCCGGGTCTTTCACAAGATTACTCATACGGATCAGCTCCTTTCTTACCACCACCCGTTCGGTATTCTTGAGACATCTTAGTTCTGTGTCTTTGATACTTTTAATTTTACTCGCGGTGCTGTCCGGTGACACGTATTTCCCCGTCTTTCGGATGGATGGTATAACGTTTTCACATATCCAGTCCTGAAATTCTTCGGCAATCGGTAGTCTAGATCTCATGATGAGTCTATACAAACCAGATTCCGTAATGAAAACCGTACCGGGTTGTTCACCGCCGCGTACATTAAAAAGGGGTATATTTGGAACCGAACCCCTTATTTCTCTAAATGTTGTCCTCATCCTTTCCCTTGTGTTGGTGGTGACGGCTTCGTTCGGTCTGATATAACCAAGTGAGAGCGCGACTTTTTTCGCCGCAAAATAGATCGTGCCGTCGTCGGATCTGATGGTGGGAATCTCCTCGTCACCTATTAGGGTCGTGTTCCTGAAAACCTGTATACTCATTCTTTTTATATCGTATGAAGTTTTCCATAAGATATTTGACGAAAACCCTGTCGGGTTGTACACCGCCGGGTGTGTAAAGGGGGCCATGAAACGGGGCCCCCTTTATATTTCCAAGCTTTGTTCTCATTCTTTCCCTGGAAATTTAATCAAACAGGTTGTCGAACGGTTCGTTCTTCGAAGGGTTCTTCTCCGGAGGATCCTTCGCAATATCTTCCGTAACATTGGTTGGCACTGACTGTTTTACTGAGTCGAACAGGGATTTCTTTTAATATTTAATGAGATAATATATTCTATACAAAATGAAAGTTACCTAGTATAAGTATAAAGGCTAAAACACATGCATTCCAATCATATTTTCGCGACATAACATGGTAAAATTGACTAATAACACAATACTACAAATATAACATATAAAACAATTAAACATCTGTACCTGAAGGGTAGATCCCTGCAGGACTTGACTCTGACTACAATTTCACGTTAATCTCTCTAACTATCCGTCCTTTAAACCGTCTCTTTACTCTCGCGTGTCTCTCTTACAAAATACTGATAAACTAACGCCTATAATGTCACTCAAAAATGTCATCACTTAAATGTCTATATAAACCATAACAGAACTTAATATTAACTATATCAAATGTCAAATGTTGCTCGCTATTTACACCAACCCTCCGGGGCCACAGTTCATGAATGTTCGTCTAACTAGCTTCTATTAAAACACATAACTTTTGCACAGACCTTTTGTATTGACCATGCTAAGTTTTCACTAACACATTTCTTACCACACCATCTTTCCCAGGGTAAACTTTTTCAACTGGACCTAATTTCCATTTTCCGCTTGGTGTCTCGTAATCCACCATCAGGACCAAATCTCCAACTTTCATCTGTCGTTCTTTCAATCGCCATTTTCCTCGTTTCTGCAACGTCGGTAGATATTCTCGTATGAATCTTTGCCAGAACTGCTGTACAAGGCTCTGGATAAACTCGAATCTTCGACTCAAAATCTCAGATCTCTCAAACGATCCGTGAGGAACACTGTTCGATGCTCTACCGATAAGGAAATGGTTAGGGGTAAGGGGTTGTAAGTCGTTGGGATCGTTCGAAGGGTATCCTAAAGGTCTTCTATTTATCAGAGACTTAACTTCAGCGAAAACCGTGCTCATTTCATTCCAAGACAGATTCTGATTTCCAACTACGATTCGAATGGCACTCTTAACTTGCTTTATCAGGCTCTCGTATATTCCACCTTGATGTCGTGAATATCCAACGAAGTTGGTAGAGTGTTGCGAAATCTTCAAGTTTCTTTCTCTCCTTTACAACCAATTCTCTCAACAATCTCTCAGCACCAACAAATGACGTCCCGTTATCGGAGATTATCGTGCTTGGCCAGCCATGATGTGAAGCAAAACGTCGCAGTGCATGAAAAAAGGCTTCAGCTGACGTACTCTCTACGATTTCTAGGTGAATGGCTCGAACTGTCGCACAGGTAAATATAGCACCCCAGGCTTTGACACTCTTATTTCGTGAAACTTTAAGATTAAACGGACCGAACAAGTCCACTCCAGTTACAGTAAATGGTGGAGAAAACGGTTTCACTCTCTCTTGCGGAAGATCAGCCATCAAAGTGGTGTGAGGTCGTTTGGCGAAACTTACGACACACTAAGCAATTCTTGATTGCCTTCTTAACTATACGCCGTCCACTCATGATCCAATATTCACGTCTATTCTCAGAGAGGGTTCTTTCGCAGCCAGCATGGCACACTTTCTCGTGAAATTCTTCCATTATCAATTTCGATATGCGGTGGTTTCCGGGTAGCAATATGGGATGTGCTTGATCGTAGGGAAGGGACACTCTCTTTAGTCTACCACCAACGCGGATGATATCGTTTTCGACAAAGGGCGCAAGATCCTTGTAACGATCTTTCCAATCAATCAACGTGCTCTGTACTTTACGAATCCAAAATTCTTTGGCATCATTTATT